TGGAGCGTGGGCCGGTACCGGCCGGCTCTCTTAGGCTCACAGAGCAGGTGTTAGGTCGCTGTTTGCGGGTGGAGCGTGGGCCGGTACCGGCCGGCTCTCTTAGGCTCACAGAGCAGGTGTTAGGTCGCTGTTTGCGGGTGGAGCGTGGGCCGGTACCGGCCGGCTATCTTAGGCTCACAGAGCAGGTGGTAGGTCGCTGTTTGCGGGTGGAGCGTGGACCGGTACCGGCCGGCTCTCTCTTAGAGCCGACGTGACCGCCTGGGTCTGGTTTGAGCCGGCCTCCGCTTTGATCCGGCAGCACGGCCTCCGCGGCTTGTAACCGAGCCAAAGGCCAGGGCCCACGGCGATGGCCTCTACTCGGGTCCCATGGAAACCGGGAGTGGAAGTGCCGGCTGGTGCTGATGTCACCCCGTCACCCAAACACTCGCTCGTCCCCGTCTTCTGCCTCTGCGTGTGTCCGCAGCAGCAGGGGGCAGCATTTGTAATGTCCTGTCCTTTTTGTTGTTTTTTCCTTGCATTTTTTTTTTTTTTTTTGATATAGACGTGATTCTCATTATTAATGAAACTTTATAAAATACTAAATAAACGTAAATGTAATTTATGGCGATTTCAGTTTAAGCCCTGCTTTCGTGGGAGTTCAGAGGTTTGCTGAAGTGTTTGCTGGCCTCTGCTCTAATACTAGACAATGGTAACAAGTGCCTGTGGATCTGTTTCTCACAGCACAGGGATCCCGGATTGCCTGCAGTCACATCCTTGTTATGCAACAATAATCAAACTTCCCGGCCTCCCGCATACGGTTATGTCATGGTGGCTTAGCCTTCCGTTCTTAACGTTGCTCGGCCCCTCAGTGTACTGCGGGAAGGTGCACTGTTCCTCAGAGGCGCCATATTGGTTTGTGTGCGAACCAAAACTCTGGGATTAGCCTGTGTGTTCCAGCCGGAGGAGGTAACTGACTTGCCTACGACCTGAGGGCTGCTTTCTACAGTGAGCCCAGCTTTCCAGTGGAGGAAAAAGTAAAAAGATCGCTTAGCGTCACACAGAAGTGTCATCAAGACAACTGACGTGTAAGAGCTTCTGCTACGGTCACCTGCCCTTGCTTCCAAAAGCCCAGCATGCTTAAGAATCAGGAAGCCCATCAGGGCCGAACGCGGAGCGGCTTCCTCTTGCGTGGGGACAGCGAAGGTTGCTTAGAGACCACATTAGGTCACGATGTCGTACTTGTTCTGAAGCTGCGATAGTTTCCAGGCCGGCCAGGGACAGCACAGCGGGGGGGTTTTAGTGAAGCGAAAATGTCTGATCACTGAATCATGAATGTTGGTCAGTCATGCATGGCAAAGGAACACGGAGACTGCAAAGAACACACTTCTGCTGTGTCAGTGGCACCAAAAGACACTGCACGGATTTTATTGCGCATCGCTGGCATAGACCTGCCGTTCTTTCTCAAATATTTTGGTTTTCTGAATCAAACACCTGAAGTTCATGTGTTTTTTTTTTTTCTTCTTCTTTTTCCAGATATAACCCAAGACTATCCAAAAGAAGATGAGGCCCGTACCATGGGCCAGCAATGAATCAGCATTTCTATAGGCCACTCGTTTGTGGTGTTTACCCTGGGAGGAGTTCCAGAGAAACGGAGCCCTGCGTGATTCCAGGCCCTGTCCTTCATACCAGTGAATGTCACACTTTTGATTTTCCTGCTTTTCATCAGTCCACACGCTGAGCTACTGGCAGCAAGCAATGTAACAATGTTTCTGTTAAGAAAAATGTTTAAAACATTTTATTTGTTCATAATAAAAAAAAGTACTATGTACAAAACATTAATACCTCATTTGTGTTTAACGTTACATCATATTCGACTTACTGGGATTTAAATAAACATGCTGCTATCAACTTGCACAGCTTAGGTTAGGAGACGTGGTTCAGTCCCGTCCTGAAGGGTCTGCCCCCCCCCCCCCCCCCCCGATGTTGGGGCCCCAAACACAGTGCTTCATCTTCTCATCTACATCAGGTTTGTCACGGGTGAAAACGGGAGCCGGAAGGGGGCTGGAAACTACCAGTTTTGGCAGTAGATGACCATGGAAATAGTCTGTTAAACAAATAATTTCCCTAATGGAACTAATTAAATCTCTTGCCCTACTGAACTGGTTAGCTGTGATAACTGGGCTGGAAATTGGGATATTGTACAATAAGAAAAAATTTAAAAAGATGATAAAGCCTTTCCTAAATCAGGAGCAAACATTCCGAGCTGTAGACAGTTGATAGCACTCTGTTTTTCTACACTAACATTGGCATTTGTTGCTTGAAGTTAGTGGATTCCAGGCAGGGACTGGCCAAGGACCAGAGAGAAGGCCTTGCACACTGGGAGCACAACCTGCTTGTATTAATGATCAAGTTTTTAAAAAAATCAATGAGCTCCCTTCCTGTTTAGCCTCCGTTCAGGTTTTTGGCACAGCAGAGAAATGCAAACAAGAGCTTCTAACACTAAATAATTTACAAAGGGATATTCTGGTGTGCTTCCCCAGTCATTAACTTGCATTTAACATTCATCCTTTTTTAAAAATACAGATTTGCATAGGAGGCCTCAATGAGACCTGGTGTCGGCCCATTTCAAAACGCCAACAAAACCTTGGGTCGTTTGGTATAACTGGGCATTGAGATTGGCACTGCTGAGTCTTTTGAGTCGTTTAAATGAATCCAGTGAGACAAAAAACATGTAACTTAATTCAGCTGCCTGGTCCCTAAACAAACATTTATCTGTTGGTGGGCAACAGAGACACGTCTGAGACATCAGGATGAATAAAATCGAATTCTCTGAATCCTCAGACCTTGTATCTTTATCATTCACAGTACGGTAGATTGATCACTGAGAATTTGCCTTCGGCATCTCTAGTCTACAGTCACTTGTACACTTTCAAGTTTTAAGCATGTTGCACACTTAAAAAAATTGAAGGCTGCACAGCATACAAACAATAAGTATGGCACAGGCTCTTGCCCCATTCTCGCATTCCCTGCCCACCCCCATATTTAAGCTATCCCCCCACCTCCACTATCAGCAATCAGCTTCCCTTTCTTCTTTTGTCTTCTCAGGCAGCTGGCAATGCCAAGAGCGCCGCCCTTCAGGAAGCGTACAAAATTGTCACCAACCAGAGGACCCATGGCAAAAAGGCTAGCCTCTTTCATGCACTCAAATGTGTGGGGGTGGATGTCAATGGGGTTCTGCTTGCAGGAAATAGGCTTGTGAGGATCAAGACCAAGATACTGGCCTTGTTCTTTGAGGAAAAAGAGGTTGGGATTGGTGCCGATGAGCACCAAGGCCATGGAGATCTTAAAGGTCTTCAAATTGTTGCCATTCCTCAGCACGCATTTTACATCAGGCTGAAAGGAGACGACACAGTGCTCAGGGAAACTGGTGTAGTCTGGGAACAGGCCGGAGGCAGTGGCAGTGTGGCTCTGTGAGCACATCATGTGGTAGACCTTGTGATATTCAGGGTACATCGTCTTGGGCAGCTGCTTGAAGATCATCCCCGGGTCGTCCACGCACTTCCTGAAGGCGTGCAGCACGGTGACTCCGCTGCTGTGGGCGAACAGCGCGGCGTCGGCCGCGCTCAACCCTGCGCCCACGAGCAGCACTGGGTCCGAGTCCCGGCCGAGGCTACGCTCTCTGACGGCTACCCCCAGGGCACACATGCTGTGGAAGACAAACGGCAAGTTCTCCCCTTCCACTCCCAGTCTGGCTGGAGAGTCAGAGGCACCGGTGGCCAGAACCACATTTTCTGCGAAGAGGCTAAACGGCATGTGGGTGTCCCCTTGAACACTCTGGTAGCCCCTGACTTCCCAAAGAGCCTTGGTTGGCACGCTGGGGGCACCCCCTTTCACTCGTAGCTCCATTTCTCCATCAACCGCGTCCCCCTCATGCTCCCTGTGAAGCTTCTGTACAGAGGTCACATATACATTGTCCACGAAATTCTTCTGGAGACCCATGAACTTCACATAGTTTCTGTAGTAGGAGGAAATGTCTTCTGGCGTGGCTCTGTCGTTTGCCTTTCCCCTGGAAGAGGCACAGGATGTGTCCATATAACAATCATACATGGTCACTACGAGCCTCTGGAGTGAGACAGACGGCTGAGGCGCCAGTTACCTTTGCTTCCCTGTTGCAACATCTCTATAGTTTACCCCAGGGAGCTCCATCCAAATTCCCAGGCTGATTGTCAACATGGATCCCTCCATTGCCTAAAAGCAGGTCGAGAGCATTAAGGCGCTTTTCCACCGATGTTCCGGAACCTAGTTCCTGGTTCTGAGTTACTGGGCTGTCTCGATTGGGAACCTTCGATTTGGGTAGTTCCTGGTCACTTTTGTGTGTCACTTTCCCACCACACAGCAGGAGCCATGACCTTTATTCTAAATAAGAAGGGAGACTAAAACAGGTTTAACTTCACATGTAATTTCAAACTAAACTACACCAGCATGTCAAAACAATGGAGGTTGAGCGAATTGTTTTATTTATTGGGAGGGATAGATTGCGTGGTATAAAAATATGGGACAAATTTTATTTATATTTTATTTATACTGCCCACAACATGTTTATAATTCATTATTAAATCTGGCCACCAGACTGATGTTTCATACTGCATAGAATAAAAAACGATGTAATGTTATTCCACCAATAACATTTTCTCCGCTGGCACCATAATTTATGGACAGAAGTTGCCAGTTATTGACCAAATCTTTCGATGCAGAAATAAGATGCAAGCGAAAAAGTTATTAATGCATTTAATGTAATTGAGATATAAAAATAAGTCCATCTACTAATTTTTTGCTTGACTACTTCTGTCTCTTTTCCCTGAACTTTTGCGTAACTTCCAAGCGCCGGTGCTTGTGGTTGACCAATCAGCAAAGTTTCTCTCTATAAGCCACACCCAGTAGTTCTGGCTCAAGCAAAAAGTACCCACTCTGAAGTAGGGACTAAAGAAAGGTTCAGGAACTACCTCCAAGGAACTACGATTGTAATGGGCTGAGTTCCTGCCGTGGGAACGCGACAGAAGTTCTTGCTGCCTGATAAAGGTTCCTGCAGTGGGAACGCGACAGAAGTTCTTGCTGCCTGATAAAGGTTCCTGCAGTGGGAACGCGACAGAAGTTGTTGCTGCCTGATAAAGGTTCCTGCAGTGGGAAAGCGCCTTTATGTGGCA